CCTACCCTTCCCTCCCTACCCCTCCCTCCCCCTCCCTTCCCCCCTCCCCCCTCCTTTCCCCCTCCCCTCCCCCCCCCCCCCCCCCCTCCCCTCGCCACACCCACAAAAGGCCGTGTCGCTTGATGGCGCGACCGATCAAGCGGTGATCACCCTCCGGTCCTTCTCCCACTCACTCGTGTCATTGGTCATGGTTATGGGTCATTGCTTGCAGGACTGCCACGGCTGCTGCGCCGTGTGGATCAGCTGGAGGACGAGTCACGGAAGCTGGTGTCCAAGGCTGCGCGGTCGGGAGACCTGACCGGCAAGGAGCAGGGGCTGCGGCTGTTGGCGTCCAAGGGCTTTGACGGAGCGCGGCTGACGCGGGCGCTCGAGTCTGTGGACCTGCGGGTGGCGTTTGAGCCACGCCATGCGCTCGCAGACACGGATCTCGAGTCATACCTGGCACACAACCACGAGCAGATTATTGTGTCTGCCGTGCTGGAGGCCAAGGCCGAGACTGCGAGTGCGTTTGACGACAAGATCGGCGAGGCCATGTACAACGACTGGAGCAAGACCAAGGACGCACTGATACAGGCGTTCGGAAAGATCGAGAAGGACAACCAGCCCGAGGCGGGTGCGCCGACGCCAGTCTCGAGCTCGCTGCAGCTGCCTAGCCACGCGCTTGGCCCGCGGCCGCCGACGGTGATGACCCAAGAGATGGAGGCGTACGCACAGGTCATTGCCGCGCTCAACACCGAGCCGGAGCCGTTCCCGGTCATTGCCGCCCTACAGGAGACTGCGGCGAGGATGCATAACCGCGAGCTGGCGGACTCGTTCGGGCTCCTGCAGACCATGCTCGACGAGGACGGCGCCATGCGGGGGCGCCGTCGTCGGCGGGCTACTTTACGGACTACTGCTCGAACGTCGACATGCAGAGGCAGCTGATCGAGGGCGCTCGGCGCTTCTTTGAGCAGCAGTACCGCTCGCTGCTTGTGGCCTACGTCGGCGAGCAGCACGACGCCTATGTCGGCGGCGAGCCGGACCTCCTCGCGGTCATCAAGACCTTTATCGAGACCAAGTTTGCCGGCAACATGATGCCGAATCTCGAGACCGTCGACGGGTACCCGCTCTACGCCGGCGCCTACCTTTGCCTGCGCTGCGGCGCGTATGGGGAGCTGCTCCAGCTGGCGCAGACCAAGGGCGACAGATGGCTCGTCTCTATCGTCTCGGCCTTTGTCAACACTCGTGCCACAGGCGAGATGTTTCCGCCCTCGCTCCGCGACGACGTCAAGAGCATGGCCAAGATGGCAAGCGCCACCCCCGACGTCTACAAGCAGGCGCTTTGTGCAGTCATTGCTCAGTACGCACAGCCACTGGACGAGGTCCTCTCCACGGCGCAGGACTACGTCTGGTTCAAGCTCATGCTCGTCGACACGTCTTCCGACGCCACCACGTCTCCCGACGCAAACTCCCTGCCGGCTCTCATCGACGTCCAGCGTGAGTTCACCGGATACGCCAGTAGCGGGCACTTTGCCTCTCTCTCGCCGTACCTCACCTTCCAGATCTTCCTCGGCGTCCAGCTCTTTGACGACGCCCTAACGGCGCTCGGCTCGGACCCTGCGGTGGTGGCGTGCGCCCTGGCGCTCACCCACTACGGCATTAGCACGCCCGTTGTTCACAACATCGTCCTCCGCTCTGCCCGATCGCTCGCCAAGTCTGCACCGGGCGCCGCCCTGCACTACTACTTGGTCCTTGCCCCGTCCAACCGCGACGAGTACATCAAGGAGCTCCTGCTCGACAACCCCGAGCTGCTCCCGGCCCTCAAGCCGATCCGCAAGCTCTCGGCCGACGACATTCGCGAGTACACCAAGGCCGCCGCCGGCCTCGCCGAGAACAAGATGCGCATCTCAGACGCGCTCGCCCTGTACTTTGCCGCCGGCGAGGCCGCCAAGGTCGTTGATCTCCTCGTCCGTCACCTCGCCCGCTCGCTGAGCGCACTCTCGCGCGACCGCGCCTCCGCCCGCGAGCTCGCCGAGCACTACGCCGTCAAGGTCGTCGAGGCCTCGATGCTCGCTTCGATCGACGCCGACCTCGTCGCCTCCTTCAACAGAGTTGTTCTCGCCGCCGACGCCCTCGACGCCGCCCAGTCGTCGTCCCACGAGTCGACCCTCGAGATCCTCGACTCTCTCGGCATGTTCCCCACCCAGCAAGCCGACCTCAACGCCGCCGTCGCCGCCTTTGCCGGCCTCCACGACGCCCTCAAGGCCATCCTTCCCGAGCTCCTGGTCGCCGCGATGTCCGCCATCTCGGCCCTTTACGCCCAGGCCCGCTCCCCGGCCGTCAAGGACGCCCTCCGCGAGCGCGCCCACCTCCTCTCGGCCTTTGTCGGCCTCGTCGACTTTAAGCTCCCCGGCGACGTCTCTACCCGCCTTCTCCGCATGGAAGTCGCCCTCAACTAAATCCCCATCCCCCCCCCTCCCCCCCCCCCACTGTAACCCTAACCTTACCCTACCCATACATGCTTTTTTCCCCAACCGCGTCTCAACCTGCCACGTGTATTGCGCCAACGCGGCCAGCTCCGCTGCCGACCACTGTTCATAATTGTTGCCAACCACCGTTAATAATCGTTGATGCCAAACGTAACCATCGTTCCCGCCACTCGACCGAACCACAGTTCTTCTCACCCCTCTCTCTCCAGCCACCAGCCATGGTTGCCCACGAGGAGCACACCGCCGACACACCGGCATCTGCCATTGTCAACGACTTTATCTGGAGCTCCAAGGTATGTCCTCCCCTCCCTCTCCCCCCTCACTGTCCCCCCCCTCCCCCCTCCCTCTTCAGCACATGCGGGGGGGGGGGGGGGGGGTGACCAAATGTTGCTCTCGCTGCTCGTCATCCACGCAGGCAGGGGAAGGTTCCACCCCCTGTCCGCCCCCTCTGTGTGGCAAGACTCACCCAAAGCAACGAGTACAGGATGAGCCGCATGCGTCTCGGCGTCGTGCCATTCTTGCCAAGTACCCGGAGATCAAGCAACTGATGGGATATGATCCTCGGACCAAGTGGATGGTGGCCTTCCTCTGGCTGACTCAGACGGCTCTCGCGGCTTGGCTCGCTGGCCATTCGTACCTCCGCATTGTGGTTGTGGCGTATGCCTTTGGTGCCGTTGCCTCGCAGTCGATGCTCCTTGCCATCCACGAGCTCTCGCATGCGCTGCTGTTCAAGAACAGGGCGATCAACAACGCGTTTGGCATCCTCGTCAACCTGCCCATGCTCCTCCCGGCGTCGGCCACCTTTAAGCGCTACCACCTCATCCACCACAAGCAGCAGGGCGTGGACATGGTGGATGTCGACATCCCCACCGCACTGGAGGCACGGATCTTCCGCGGCAAGCTCGGCAAGGCCATCTGGGTCTCGCTCCAGGGCTTCTTCTACGCCTTCCGCCCGCTCGTGGTCAAGCCGCTCCCGCCCATCTTCCTCGAGCTGTGCAACACTGTGGCGTGCGTGGCCTACGGCACGGCCATGTGCTACTTCTTCGGTCCGGCAGCCCTCCTCTACCTTGCCCTTTCGGACGTCTTTGGCATGGGCCTCCATCCGGTCGCCGGCCACTTTCTGGCCGAGCACTTTGTCTTTGCCGACGACGGCGAGACCGAGACCTACTCGTACACCGGTCCCATGCGCTGGGCCATCCTTAACGTCGGTCTCCACAACGCTCACCACGACTTTCCCTCCATCCCGGGCTCGCGCCTCGACCAGGTCCGCGCCATCGCCCCGAGTTCTACGAGGACCTCCCAAGCCACAACTCGTACACCCACGTCATCTGGCGCTTTATCATGGACGACTCGATCACTCTCTTTGCCCGCGTCAAGCGCCATGCTGACGCCATCGGCTCTTCGCGCACCAAGCGCGAGTAAGTGCAAATCTTTTTTGCGTAGAAAGAGGCCGATGGACGCAGATGCTGACGGATCTGGCGGCAGAAGCCGTAAGTGAGTCTTGCCGTAACACCGTACCGTAGTTTGAGAAGTCCATGCCAACCCCCCCCCCCCCCCCCCCCCCCTCCTGCCAACCCACCGACCCGCCGACGGCCAGCCCACCAGCCCACCAGCCCACCAGCCCACCAGCCCACCAGCCCACCACCAGCCCACCACCCCACCCCCAACCATGTCCGCACCCGACCCAGCCATGGTAGAAAAGGCACAGGAGCTGCTGGTGACGCTCCAGGAGCCCGACGCCATTATGGAAGCGGACATTCTCTCGAGACTCCGGGCGTACATTGGCTGCAAGGGCGCACCGCAGACGGCGGTGGAGACGCTGGCGGCGTCGTACCAAGGCCATGCCGAGGTGTGCAACGTACTGCTCGACTGGATGGGACTGGTGGGCATGGACAAGGAAGAGCGAGAGGGACTTGTGGTCAATCATGTCAAGGACTCGGTCCTCGCCCACTACGATGCAAAGCTCACCAGGAATCTCTTTGCGTCGGGCTCGTCCACCCCAGAGTGGGTCATGTTCATGATCGGCCAGCCGGTGTGGAGGGATCTCTTCTACAAGCTCTCGGACTCGTATGCAGAGTGTTTGCTCGTCAACTTTGCCATCCGCAACATCTCGGACGCTCCAGAGTGCTCGCGCGAGCTCAAGTCGCTCAAAAAGTCGGCTGCGCACAACTTTGGCGTCTTCTCGCAGATCCTCTCCACACACATCACCGCTCTCCTCGCCGCGCCCGATCCGCTCATTGCTCCGGCCTTTGATGAGTTCATCACTCTCGCTACTCAGTCGGAGAACACGTTTTGTTTGTCTCGACTCTGCTCGGCGCGCTCGCCGGAACCGCGCGGACCGCGAGCCCGCCCAATCCGGCAGCCGCGATGCTCTTTGCACGTCTCGACCAGGAAATGCTGCTGGCCATGTCGCCCGAGCGCCAGGCCATGTTCCGCAAGCTCACTGCCTTGCTCTCGGGCGTGCTGCTGTACCCGTCACTGGCATCGGCGCTGCTCTCGATGTTCAAGTCGGAGACGCCGGCCACCACGCCAGGCGACATCATCCGCATCCACAAGGTGTACACCGGCTCGAACCCGCCGCCGCTCTCGCTCATCCGTGACTCGCAGCTGGTTGACCTTCTCCTTGCAGACCTGTTTGTCCCGTCAAAGCTGGTCTCGCCCAAGCACCGCACCCGCTACCTCGCCGTCCTCGCGCTCATCGCCGCTGGCAAGGACGACCGGGTCCCCGGCTACGCGCCTGCCGGGAGCGCTAGCCTCGGAACTGAAGCCGTGCCGGCTGTACAGCGGGCGCTGCGTGAGCTGCAGAACCTGCTGCTGGCCAAGCCGTTCGGCCCCGCGCTAGACGCCGCCTACCCGGAGCTGGTCGCCAAGGCATCGGTCCACCCCATGGCCGGTGCCGGGCTCATCGCCTACGTCGAGGCCGCGCTCACCATGCCGGAGTTTTTCTCCACCAACGGGCACGATACTCGGACGTACCTCTCGCTACTCAACTCGATGGCGACGGCCCACCCGTCGCTCGCGCCGCGGCTGCTGGCCACCTACCAGCGGCTGTTCTTTGTCTCAGCTGCCCTTGTCGACCTCGACGCCGTCTCGTTCCACAACCAGCTCATGGACTGCATTGCGTTTCTGCTTGCGGTCGGCCACGCCCAACCAGTCCTCGCTCTCATCCACGAGTGGTGCGTCTCGTCGCGTGTCGACAAGGCTCTCGTCCGGCACTTTCTCCTCGTCGCCATCCAGATTGTCTCGCCCCCATTCTCGCCCGACTTTGCCTCTGCCCTCGCCGACATCATGCGCATCAACTCGTTTGCCGACTACACCGCCACCACGCTTTCGGCCTCGGACTCGCTCGCTACCCGTGGGCTCTCCAACCTTGCGGCATCAACCCGCGCTGCCGACCGCCCGCGCGTCGTCTCGAGCACCGTCGCATCGTCGGCAGACTCGCTGCTCTCGGCCGAGCTTGTCGACGCACTCGTCGCCACCATCGTCGGCATTGCTGCCGCCTGCCCGCTCTCCGACGCCACCAAGTCCATGATCAACGCGCTTTTTGACATTCCGATCCTCTCCGAGCGCGCCGCAGACCTCGACCTTTCTCTCGTCTTTCACGGCGACGAACCGCGGACTGTCCGCGTCGTCGTTGGTGCTCGTCTCGGCTCTGATGACGACGACGACGACGACGACGACGTCCAGCACATGGATGACACCGAGTAAATGCACAAAACTGAGCAAGTGCGGCCAAGGTGCCAGCCAACACACCAGCCAATCACCTTCTGTGCCATCAGCCTCCACCAGCCCGCCAGTCCGTTGGCCGGCCACCGCCGGCCAACGGACGACCGCCACCGCCGCCTCTGCCCACACCATCCGTCTCCCACCCGTCTCCCACACGTGACAGCGCTACCAAGGGCAAACCAACCCAGACGTCAAGCATGCTGTCTGCAGAGCGGTCGTTTCTAGCGGCGGTGGACGCCACACTCTCCGGCTCCATGCTGACGGGCGCACGGAGCATGTCTCAGAGCGGCAGCCGGCTGGGGAGTAGCAGCCGGCTGGGTGGTGGTGGACGGCGGGCATCGACACGCGCGGGACATCGTGAGTCGCTCATGAGTGCAGCGCATGTCGCTACTCCACGCGATCGCCACTCTGCTGGCCTAGGGGCTTCGTTGAGATCGCCTGGCGCGGGCGTGTATGCGGCCTACGCCTCGCCGGAGCGATCGGCTCCGCTCTCGATGGATATGCTGGGTGCAGATGATGGCAGAGAGTTGCATGACGCTGATGATGAGGACGACGACGAAGCCGATGGTCTGGATCCGGCGCAGGCGCGGATGAGGCTGAAGCAGAGCAGGAGGACAGTACGGGAGCTCGAGTCGGAGCTGCGGGCCCAGGATCGGGTACTTGGCCAGCAGGATGCTACCATCGAGTCGCTCAAGAACGAGATCCAGGCTCTGCAAGAGGCACTGAGTGTGCGGGACAACGAGTTAGAGTTGCAGAGGGCGACAATGGATGATTTGGCGGCACGGGTGGACCAGGAGACGGCAGCGCAGCATGACCTCTCTCTGCAGCTGTCCAAGGCGCAGACATTGCTGCGCGGGAGCGTGGACAACGACGCAGAGGCGGCGCTGCTGGAGGATGTGGGACGGCAGCTGCGGTCAGACAACGAGCGGCTGCTGGCGCTGCTGACATCGACGACTGAGTTTGCGCGGTTTGCAGACTACGTCAACGACTCTGGCGGGGTGACCTACGTCGGCGATGGGATGCCGCCGGACGCTCAGCGGCTGGCACAGGCGTACGGTGTGGGCAAAACACCGCCACCGCGCAGATTCCGGGCGCAGTCAGCAAGCCGAAGCCGAAGTAGCAGCAGCAGCGTGGCGCAAAAGGGTTCGCGGCGACAGGCGGCGGTCCAGGCTGCGTTTGACACTGAGCGGACGCAGTGGGTGCCTGAGGAGGCCTGGCACCGGGCGCTCGCACTGCAGCGGGGCTCGTTGCCCGGCTTGGACGAGGCCACGCTCCGCGAGTGGCTCGCCGAGCTGAATCGGGTTTGGACCAAGCGCGAGGACGCCCGAGTCCAACGAGTCCAGTCCAAAGCGTCCGCACAGATTGCGTCGCTCAAAGAGAAGCTCGCCAACATGCGGCCGTACGACGACGTGCTTGTCGACGAGAAGATGGGAGCGTTGCGGCGGACGATTAAGGAGCTGCGCACACAACTGGCAGAGGCCAAACGGCCGCGCAAGTCCAAGGACGACGCATCGGTTGCGCTCCTTGCGTCGTCGATGAACACCGCACAGGCGCTGCGCGACAAGGTGGCCCAGCTTGAGGCTCGCAACCGCGAGCTGGCGCGGGCGCTGCGACATGCGCAGGCCGAGACCGATAACACCGCGCCGGCGACGTCGGATGCTGCCTTTCTTCGAGGCGTCACCTGGCTCGGTGCGGCGCTGCTGGACAAGGCTGATCTTCTGCAGGAGGAGCTTTCCAGCCACGTCGTGAGCTTCCAGGAGGGCTCGATGCAGCTCAAGCGCGACGACCGCCACTTTCATACCAAGCTCATCCGTGTCCAGTCGCGGTTTGTCGACGCGCTCGATGCTGCTGTCGTCGCCTTTCGCACCCAGGTCCGCGACGTCTTTGAGTCTGCGCTGCAGGCCGCAGACGCGCGGTCGGTCGATGGTGTGACCTCTCTGCTGACCTCGCTGGAGCGGTAGCGAGCGTAGCATGGCTGAGCGGGGAGGGAGGGGGTGGGGGTTTACGTTCGAGCAACAACAGCTCACATGGAGCGGATCTTAGCACAGAACCCATCGCACATGGCCGACGACCGGCAGTACGACGGGATGTCAAAGAAGTTCGGGTTGGCCATCGTGGAGAACGACGTGGTGTCGTAGTAGAACAGCTGGTTGCCCGAGTTGTTCACGAGGATGGGGATGTGGCGATCGACCGTCTGGTAGTAGTAGTTGGCCTCACCGCCCATGACAAGCCACTTGTCGGAGGGCACACCGTTGATGTTGACCACGCCCTGGTACGTGCCCTTGGCGGCCCAATCGCGCTCGAGTGGCCCACAGCCCTGATCGTAGGAACAGCATTGGCAGCACGAAGCCGATCCGGGCGCCATAACAAACAGCATGTCATCGACAGCGACCTGCGAGCACATCTCCACACCAAACATCAGGCCAGACGTCTTGCAAAGGTAGTCCACATGCGGATCGAGGTAGTCAACGCGAGAAGCAGTCAGTGTCGCATCGTACGCATACATGCCAGGTGTAGATGCGTAGCCCAGGGAGTCGTTGAACGAAGCCGACCAAACAGGCGGCCATTCAGCAGAGGGCGCATAAGCCGCCGAGCAGCCGCTGACGGCAACAAGTGCAACGAGGGCAAGCGCAATCATCAGCTGGGGGAGACGAGCCATACTGTAGCAAGTAAAGGGCAAGTAAAGGGCGAGAGAGGGAGAGAGGGAGAGAGGGAGAATTGTGACGTGTTTCGGTCGACTCTGGGCATTGGCATGCGCGGGTCGCCCTTGTGTGTGCAACAACCATCTTTACGTTGTGGAAAAACGAAAGCCACACCGAGGGAGTGCGGCTACGGTTGCGAGGACAAAGGGGCTGAAGTGGCGGAGGAGTCGGCGCGAGAGGACGACATGTAGTTGTAACCGATGATGGCACCAACGATGGCGGTGACGACGCCGGCGGCGGTGACAGCCTTGGTCGTCGTCGATGGGCCGTCAAAGTCGCAGCCGAGCTCGAGAAGCTTGGCAAAGGCGGCAGCAAAGTCACGGAAGAAGAGCTCCTCGTCGGCGGCGTACTCCTTGACGACGACGGCAAAGGCCGGGTCGTGGAGGAGCGCCATGTCTGCAGGCAGCATCATCAGCTCTCCTGTCGGGTCCTCGTACTGGAGCGGGCCGTCCCAGTTCTTGCGAGTCCAGCGGTTGCCGACGAGCTCGGTAAAGTACATGTTGGAAAAGGTGGTCGGAGCGCGGGTCCACGGACCCTTGTATCCGGAACGGTTCTCGTGGCAGCGGCCGAGGCAGTGGGCGCCGATGAGGGCGACCATCTCGCGGTCCGAGAAGCCCATGCGACCGAAAACAGCGCGAACATGGTCGGCGCCCTGGGCGGCGTCGGGCAGGCGGTCGTCGGGCGTGCAGAGCTTGCCGTCGTTGTCGTCGGTCCGGCCGGGCCGCCACGCGATCTCGGGGCCGCCCATCTCCTCGATGGCCACGCACGCGGCGAGGGTCCAGAGGTCGGCGTTGGAGATCTCCGGGAACTGCTTCTTGATGCGCGCAAGGTGGTTGCGCGCGACCGAGAGCCCGTTGTTGGCGCCGTGGAAGGCTTCCGGGAAGAAACGCATCTTGGCACCATTCGATCCACCCGTCCCGTCCTTCTTGGAGTACGTGCCCGAGGCGTGCCAGGCGAGCCGGACGAGGACCGGGCCGAGCGACCCGTCGTCGTAGCTCTCGTCCTCGAGTGTATCGGCGATGGCCTTGCGCACCGCCTCGTAGTCAACGCCACCGGCATGCACAGAGCCCATCGACACATAACCGAACGCAGCCGCAGCTCCGAGCCCAGCAGCCCACCGCCACGCTCCGCTCATCGCTGCTCCCGTTGCCGCACCGCCGGCAGAGCCCGAAGTCGCAGAAGAAAACGCCCGTCGGGCCGGCATTCCAGCGCGTGCCACAGCGGCTGTACAGAGGGAAGAAGAGTGGAAAGAAGACAGTGAGTATGGTGAGAGGAGGAACACTCTTGGTAGTTGGTTGGAGTCCATGGGGAAGATCGTACAAAGCCGCTGCGCGCCCATGCGCACACTAGTCGTCGCAAAGCGGAACATTGAATTCTCCGCCAATCAAATCCAGTCAGGTGTTGGCACGCCGTCAGCGGACGTTGGCACGCCGTCAGCGGACCAACCAGATTGATGCATGGCCTACGATAAAGTTTTCGCCGAGTGACCGAGCGCCCGGCGACGACTCGTCGAGTTGACGGACAAACCGCGGGCGCGCCAAAACGAGCGTCGTGGTCATGGTCACGCCTGCCAGAGGTCAACACCACACCTCTCTGCAAGCAGCAGGCAGCTGAGACGCCATGTCTGCATCAGACTTTGCGCTTGCGCGGCGACAAGAGGTGCGGACGCTACTGAGCGCGCTGGTGGGCTCGCTGCTGCCGACGGCGGCGGTCGGCTCGACGAACCACAGCTTAGCGCTGGACTTTGCGCTCAACGGGGTCGACGACCATCGGTTCGGCACGCCATCACCGCCTGCTCTGCGCCGGACTATGCGGCGGGTTCTGGAAAAGCTTCGCATTCACTCGCTTCGATCACGGGCATATCGGCTTGATACTGCCTTTGCCGCCTATCTGGACCTCCCCCTCGACGCCTCGTCCACGCCCGAGCTGCACTGGGCCGTTGTCGCCACCCTCCTCGCCCTCTCAGACTCGCCGTCAAACGCGCCGGCTGTCCCGTCGCAACGTCCACTGAGAGCAGACGCCTTTGATCCGGAGCGCGGCGTTGATGTCGACCCGTCGCAGCTCCCGGTCGACCCGACGTACGTCTCGTATGGCCTTGTCGACTCGGACGACGAGCCGCTGGATACGTGCGCGCTGGCGCTGCTGCCTCGCCCCGGGAGCGCCCTGGCCATCTCGGACGACGACCTCTCCGAGTGGTCGGATGACGAGCTCGACGAAGATGCTGGCGGCGATGGCAACGGCGTTGGCGGTCCGGGACCAAGCCTCCACGTTGTGGTTGGCGTTGACGGGCCAGGTATCGAGCCGCGCCGCGAGACGGCGACAGCCTCGGCTGTGTTCAGTAGCTTAGAGCGACAGAGAGTGGCGGGAGCGGCGCGGGCACTGCCACGGGAGCTCACAGCACTGGCGTTTGTGAGCGGGCCGCATAGCGAGGCCACCCGCCGCGAGGCTGAGGATGGGCAGTACTGGCGGGGCGACCGAGTGCTGGACGCGTTGCCACACGATTCTCTTGCCGCGCGGTATGCGGCGTACTGCGCCGAGCGGGGCGGGTTTGAGTCAGGTGCGACACCAGCGTCGCGGATGAATCAGACCGACGTTGTGCGCGAAGTACTGTGGATGCTGCAGGGCCACGCGACGCCGATTTTCGCAGCAGTTCCTGTCGGCAAAGGCGGGAGCCCGCGTTTCGAGGTCGTGCCGGACGCGTGTGTGCCCGAGGTGACTCGCGGCGCGCTGCGGTCTGCACTTTACGACTTTGCGGATGCCGGCAGCGGCGTGGCGCTGCTGCGTCTGGTTGCGTCACTGGCGTCACCGCCGCCGGGCTCGCTCTTTGGCGCCGTCTTTCAGGCCTTTGCCCACTACTGCGGCCAGTGGCTGAACACGAGGCTTGCGCCGCTGGTTGCAGAGCTCTCACAGGCTGCGCGGCGACGAGAGAGTGCACACGGCGACGCCGACGCAGTCACGCTTCTCGACGCTTACGTTGCGCTCCAGCCGAGTCTCCGGTCGGCGGAGACGCTTGCCGGGCTGGCGATGACAGTGCTGCCACAAGGCTGGACAAGCCTGGTCTCGTCGACGCCTGACGCGCCGCTCGTCTTTGTCCTCGACGCATCGGCAGTCGATGGATCGGCACCCAAGGCTTATGTGGCGGCGAGCCTTCTCTCGGGTCTGTACCAGCAAGCGCGGCTTCGAAACGGGCCCGAGTCCGAGACGCTCGCGAGTGCGTTTTGGGCTGCGCTCCGGCCGTACATGGGTTGGCTCAATGGCGCACCGGATCCGTGGGGCGAGTTCATGCTTGTGGCACCAGTCGAGGGTGCGGCGTCGCGGGTTGCTGGTGATGTTCCGGTCTCGGAAGCGCTCGCCGAGTGGGACGACTTGCTCCGTCCTCGCTCACCGGACGCCGTGCCTTCGTTCCTCACTCCGGTTGTCGACGTCATCCGCGATCTCGGCAGGGCGCAGGAGATCGCACCGACGCTCGGCATTGTGCTGCAGAGCAAGAGTGCAGGTGTGATTGGTTCGGAGCAAGGATGGCCGACAAGGGTTGCCGCCCGGTCAAAGGCAGACAGAGCTGCTTCTGAGGCTCTCGTTGCGCACCCGGAGCACTTTGTGCCGTCGGTCGGGAGCTCGGCACATGTCGCGCTGCCTGTCCTCGTGCCACAGCCACTGAGGCTGGAAGAGCAGTGCGTGGACAAAGCTAATGCTGAAGTCATCGAGGGCGACTACGATGTGCGGCGCGAGGTGGAGCGGTTGGTACTTGCGCCGCTGCGCGAGTCGCAGCTCCTCACCTGCACCCTCGTGATGCGGCGGGCGCTGGAGGGAAGCAATGGCATTGTGGCAACCGTCGGTCTCCTCCGCGAGGTCACTTTTTGGCTGGCGGCGACACGATGTACCCGTTTGTGGGCTCGGTCTTTGAGGCGCTCGACGATGGGAGCGGCGTGCGGAGCGGGTGGGGAGTGCAGCTCGAGCTCAACCTGCAGCTTGCGGCTGCGGTGGGGAGCGAGGCGCTGAGCGTGCAGCTCGACGGCGAAGGCGGCGACGTGGTTGACCGATTGCGGATCGAGGCACAGGTGGCATGGCCCGCGGCAGCGGTTGTGCGGAGCGAGCATGTGGATGCGTACAACGAGGTGCTGCGGTTCCTGCTCCGGATTCGCGGTGCCAAGAGCGCGCTGGCGCGGATGGTGGTCGAGTCGCGGGTGCGACGTAGCGAGAGCGGGATCGGGACGCGTACGCATGCGCTGCAGGTCTTCCGGGCGCGGCTGTACCACTTTGTCGTCAATCTCGAGCAGTACATGATGACGCGCGTGGTCGAGTCTGCGTGGGGCACGCTCATGAACGAGCTGAAGACGGCAGCGACGCTCGACGCGGCGCGGGCGGCGCACGCTGGGTATCTCTCGGCAGTGGTGGATCGTGCACTGCTTGGGCCCAAGGCGCGGGTTGTCCGCGAGGGCATCGAGAAGGTGCTCAAGCTCGCGCTCGCCTTCCGGCATGAGTTTGACGTCTACGTGGCGGCGGTCGAGAGCTTCCGGGTCCGCGACGAGAGCGCGTCCGAGGCGCGAATGCAGGCCATGGAGTCGGACTTTGACTCATGGATCAAGTTCCTCCTCGGAGTGGTGGCACGCATCACCGGTGGGACCAGTGGCGGGAGCTCGTATCCGCACCTACTGGACCTGCTCATCCGACTCGACTTTAACTCGTACTACGGGGTGGCGCCGTAGCGGCCTCCTGTGCGACGCGAACGGCATCGAGCTCGGCCTGCAGCTCGGCGATACGGGCGTCCTTGCGGTCGATTTCCTCTCTCGCGGTGTTGAACAGGACCGAGAGATTGGTGGCGATAACAAGGTTGCGATCGTAGAGCAGCTTCATCTTTGCCTGCATGTCGAGCAACGCCTCCTTGGCCGCCAATAAATCCTCCTTGGCCGCCTCTTCTGCTGCCGTCGCCGCCGCCATTCGTGCCGCCGCCGCCGCTCTCGTCTCATCGGCCCCGCCGTCTCTCGCCCAATTGCTGTCCGACGCCGCATCGGTCTGCATGGCCGCCAGTTCGTCTGCCGGTACGTCTAGCCAGAGCAGATCGTCGTCGGCGTCAACGTGGAGCGCGCCGTCTGCGGGGAGCCATGCCGGCCCGGTCTCGTTGTCGGACGAGGACGAGGTGGTACAGAGGAGGCCGTCGGACGAGGTCGAGTCCATAGTGCGGCGTGGGAGGAGTGGGTATGGGTGGAAGGAACGCGGGGTGTGTGAGAGGGGGTGGGGGTGGGAGGAGTATGGGATAGGTCAGGGCTTTGGGGGTTTACGGTTTGGTCAGGAAGAGAGGCGGGAGCGGGTGGGAGCTTCCACGTTCAGCAGCAGCCCTTCTTGGCAGGGGCGGGATCGTTGCCGCTGACAGTGACGGCCTCCTCCTCCTTGGCGGTGGCCATCTGGCCGGCGCGCTCGTTCTCAAGGATGGCCTCGATGAGGGCGGAAGAGGCCTCGTTGATGCCGATGTCCTGCTTGGCCGAAGTGGCAAAGACGGCGGTGATGCCGAAGCGGCCGACAAGCTCGGCGAGCTCCTCGTCCTTCATAAAGGCCTCGCCCTCGTCGTCGAGCAGATCGACCTTGTTGGCAAGGAGGACGATAGGAATGGGCTCGCCCGAGGGGAGGCGGACCTTCTCGACGAGGTCCGAGAGCCAGCGCTCGACGGCCTCGAACGACTTGCGGGCGGTGACATCAAAGACGACAAAGCCACCGACCGACTCGCGGAAGTAGACCCGGGTCATGTTGCCGTACCGCTCCTGGCCAGCAATGTCCCACAGCTGGAGCCGGACCACCGTGTTGTCGTCCCACTGTACCACCTTGAGGGCAAAGTCAACACCGATAGTCGCCTTGTAGTTGGACGAGAAGATGCCATGCACAAACCGCTTGATGATTGAGGTCTTACCCACAGATGCGTCGCCTGCAGAAGGGGGAAGGGGACGGGGAGGGAGGGGGTGTGAGTTGCAAGGAGGAAGGAAGGTGGGGGTGGGCGGGGGGGGGGGGGGGGGAAGAGGGGGGGGGGGGCGTACCTACGACGAGCACCTTGAACAGATGCTCATTCACCTCAGAGTCCGCCTAACCATGTCGGGAAGAGTGAGTGTGAGAGGATGCGTGAGTGTGTGTGGTTACGGTGTGGCAGGAGGGTGTGGCAGGGTGGACGGGGGGTGGGGTGGGGTGGCCGGGTGGCGGGGTAACGTTAGTCGCCATTGGCTATCGTGTCACGCGACAGCCTCGGTCAGGAACACCGACATAGCCATGGCTACACGGGGATGAAGGAGGGTGTACGGGGGAAGGAAAGTGGATGGGGCGTTGCCTAACAAAAGGGTTACAACACGTGTCGGGTGCGGGGGCGAGTGGGTGGGGTTACCGTCGCGTACCATGTCTGCGAGGAATGTGGCCGCCTCCCGCTCCCCACACCGCTCGCGGCTCTGTCATGGCGCCTTTGCCTTCCATCATTCACTTTGAGGTTTGAGACGAATTAATTGGCCGCAGTGTGAGCAGAGGCCACATTTTGATGGTCGGTTGGAAGGAAGGGGGGGGGGGGGGAGGGGGCGGGGGCGGATGAAGGGAGCTCAGAAGGGAGATCAACCCAGAAGCAGCTAAAAGAGGCTCGCTTGTGCGATAAAATGCAGATGATGCTAGAGCTAGCGGTGTGGTTTGGCAAGATGAGCTTTGTTCGGCACGTTGATCGGTGCAGGGTCTACTGCCACTCATCTCGTCCCATTGACATCGTCTCAGATGACGACCATTGTGATGAAGATGGCTGCACTTGCGCTCGCCCTTCTTGTGGGAAGCGCACTTGCTACCGAGTGCCCCAGTGAGCTCGCTGTCCTCTCTGATACGTACGTGACTTGTGTGGGAGCGATGTGATGTGCGAGATACTCGCACATGCTGGTCATGTAATAGGGCAGAGTTCTCGGTGTGGCCTCGGAGCTCCGCCACCACGCCGAGCTTCCAACAACAAAGTAGACGACCAACGGAGTGGATGAGGCCGAGCCTGCCACCATTTTCTCATGATATTATTGCCCTCAAACGTGCGCGTGGTCTCACACCTTTACAGCTATACGGTTGTGGACGGAAGCTTCACGTACCAACTCTCGCCGTGCGGCAACGCAGCGAGGACGCCATGCGGGGGCGACAACGTCGGCGCGTGCCAGTCGTGGTCCGCGGGACGAAAGTTGCTCGGACAGTCGTCGATGCGCAACGTGACGGCACACAGCGGGCACTACACCATCCATCTGGGCGGCGGCGCACCCTCGACGGTGTGCAACGGAGATAACCGTGTTGTCATCGACGTGTACTGCAACAAGGCGGCGCCGGTGCCGAAGATTGTCTTCGGATCGCTGTCGAGCTGCGTCTACCACTTTATGGCTGTCGCGAACGTTGAGTGCATGTAAGCGCTCGAGAGTACATGTGCATCACATCGAAGCCGCCTGGCTTGGTGATGCATGGGCAAAGCCAATTTTCGTGTTCCTCTTGCCTGTGCTGTGCCTGCCGCTGCTTCATGTAGCGGCGATCACTGCCAAGCATAAAGTCCAGCTTTGCCGCACCGAGTAGCAAGTACCAGACTCCTCCATCCATGGCTATGATCGGAAGTCGTAGACACGAGAATGCCGGCATGCGATCTCGTTGCGTGCGAGTGTCGGCGCGATGGATTGCGGCGAGCTGTGCGGGTGGGCAACAACGAGGAGTCGCCTCAAAACGGTCAGTCGGCTCCACCCCACTTCAGCCGACTGACGGCCACCGAGGAGAGCAAGCACCTTCCTGCTCTACGTGGCACGTCTGCGCACCTACTTCCTTCACCCACCCACACGCACACACACACACACACCTACCGCACACACACCAGCGGTAGCATCACGTTGTCAACCATGCAGCACAGGACGTTCTGGCTGACGCTTCCGTCTGGCGGCTCCATTCTGGTGGCCCAGTCCCGTCGTCGCATTCCCGTCCACCGTACGCATGCACCTGTGGGCAATGTGCTTTTTTGGCATGAATGATTTGTGGGATGAGCACAAGGGGGGGGGGGGGGGGATGACTCACTGTAGCAGAGTGATGTACCCAAATCTGGGGGTTGGATGCGATGGATAGTGGAGATGCACGAGATGTGCCAGGTCACGGTTTACGCCGCCCCGCTGCCGATGATGCCACCGCAAAACCCGATGATGACGACTATGGCTGGCATGGGCATGATGCCGCCACCGCCGCCGATGCCGATGGCGATGCCGCCGCACATTCTGGCATCGACGCTCGGATACACCCGCCCGTCACCCAAGGCGCTTGCGGCTGCGCCGGTGCCGTGGTCGTGGTCGCCTGCGCCGCCGCCGCCGCACTTTGTCTGCATCGACGGATACTCACGGATGCGGACGCTGCCGTCGCACCCGAGCGCGCCGGCTTCGTCGCCGGTTGTCTCGCTGGAGGCGGCAGCACCTAGTGCGGCGATCGCGGCGACTGCGGCGGCAAAGGCCAAGGCTGTGCCGTTGGCAAAGGCTGCCCCCGAGGTGGCGACGAGTGCAAAGGCGCCTGTGCCGCGGCTGCGCGCTCCGTCGCTTTCGGCTGCCGCCAGAGTGCCTGTCCAGCAGCTGCGTGCGGGAGTGCCGGTGCAGGCGCCGGCACTCGCGGGTTCGAGCAGTGCCGTGACGCCTGCGGCTCAGGCCCTCGCGGCCGCGCGCAAGGCGCCTGCCAGGACGCCGGTACCCGAGCAGATAGCTGCGGCCGCCGACGTCGACGGGTGGAGCGCGCGCGGCGCGGCAGTCGGTCCTTCGGCGCCCGCCGTCCGCCGGTATGCCGAGTACGAGGTGTTTGAGCGGACGGCTGTGATCGACAACGGATCGGTGACCATTAAGGCCGGATTTGGCGGCGAGCCTGCGCCGCAGGCGGTGGTGCCATCGATTGTCGGTCGGGCGCGCCGGGCGAGCTCGCTCTCTCCTGGCGGGAGTGGCTTTGACCTCGGCAACGCGTACATCGGCGCGTCGGCGGCAAGCAAGCGGGCGGTGGCGCACCTCAGCCACCCGATCCAGGGCGGGCGCGTGGCGTCATGGGACGACATGGAGCTGCTATGGGAGTATGTGATCGAAAAAGAGCTGCGCTCGCCGAGCCTTCTCGACGGCATGCCAGTCCTCATGACCGAGCCGCCGCTCAACTCGCGGGCCGATCGGGCGCGCATGGTTGAGACGCTGTTCGAGGCGTTTGGCGCGCCCGGCGTGCACCTGGCGTACGCATCCAAGCTCGCCATGCTGGCGCGTGGCGCCTCGACCGGCCTCGTCGTCGACGTCGGTGGCTCGCAGACTGTGGTTGCGCCGATCTACGAGGACTCGGTCCTCCGCTACAACATGGAGACGTCCAAGTCGGCGGGCTTGACGTCCAGGAGCTTCTGGCTCGGCTCGGCCGCCAGCGCCACGGGCCGACCTTCCCCTCCTCGCCGGCGTTCCTTGAGTCTGCGCTCAGCGCCGGCGTGCATGTTGCGTGCAGCGGGTCTGTGGCCGACGGCGCGACCGCGGCCCCGCTGACGGAGCTCACTGCGCCCGACGGGACAACGTTTGCCCTCGACACGGAGCTGGTCACCGCGGGCGAGCTGCTGCTGGACCCTTATCTCGCCGGCAAGGACACGCCGCCACTGCTCACAGCCGTGAGCAAGGCGCTTGCCCATCTCGACGATGACCTCATCCGCGCCCTGCTGGGCAACGTCGTGGTGACCGGCGGTGTGCTCCCGGGCTTTGTCGATCGCCTGCAAGCCGAGCTGTCGGCGGCGTACGCGGTCCCGCGAGTGAGGGTTGCCGCTCTCCCGCAGCCGCGAGAGGCCGCCTGGCGCGGCGGCGCGCTCCTAGCCTCGACCGACACCTTTATTCGCCTATGCATCACTCCCGAAGAGTATGCCGAGCAGGGCGACCGGGTGCTCGAGTACAAGTTTGCGTGAAGAGAAGGCTTTTTTGATGTGATGTAGTTGCGAAAAAAAAAAGGCCGCTCGCCTATGAGAGGAGCGCGACGGCGGCGAGGGGCGAGAGCGCGTCGAGCGGCGGGAAGCTGAACAGGTGAGTCGACGCCGCCGAGAGCGGAGCGGCCGGCGGCGACGGCGTGAGCGACGGCGGTGGGCCGGGCGCCGGAGCGCCGCGGGCCCGCCGCGGCACCGAGACCGAGATCGGGCGCTGCCGCTTGCGCGGGCGGGCGCCAGCGGACTCGTTTCCGAGCGTGACCGAGGGGAAGGCCTTGGTGCTCGGCGCTGCGCCTGACGCCGCCGACGGCGACGGCTCGGGCATCGGCGCCAGCGAGAGTGGCGTCACCAGAGCTCCGATGCCGAGGGCCGACGCGAGCTGCTGGTCCAGCATCGCCTCGAGGTCGTCGTCGGCCTTGCGCTTGCGCGAGAGCGGTGCTGCCGCCGTGACCATGGCCACAATTTCCGAGACCTGCTCCTGCAGGAGCGACTGGACCGAGCCGACCGACGCGCACGAAGCCCGCAACCGCGCGTTCTCGGCAAGCAGCGTCTCCACCTGCGCTGCCTGCGAGTTGAGCTTCGAGGTGAGCGACTCGATTTGGGCCTGGTGCGCGGCGCACTCGTTGGTGAGCGAGGCGACCTCAGCGCGGAGGCCCGAGACGACGGCCGGCGCGGCCGGCGAGTTGGCGTCGAGGCTCGCCGGTGGCGCGGCGGCGGCGGAAGCAGCAGCGGCGGAAGCAGCAGCCTTGGCCTTGCCGCCACGGCGGCGCGGCTTGCGGCGGATGTAGCGGAGAAGCTCAACACGGCCGCGGAGAAAGTACGGATGGGTGTACTCCCAGTGGTTCGGCTCGCCGATCTTGCGGAAACCGTACATGTTGAGCTGGCGGATGAACGACTTGATGTTCGAGTGAGAGAAAAAGTTGGCCAGCTCGGCGACGCCGACAGTCTCGTAATCTGTGAGGACAAACGAGGTGCCAGACGCTGTCCACTGGATGCAATAGTCCGTGGAGGAGACCGAGACCATCTCGTACGTCCGCTGCACAAAGTGCTGCACGCCCTTCTGATGGGCGGCGGTGCGGTCGTAAGCGGCGCCGGGTGGGACCGGAATGTGGTCACCGGCGGGCGGAGCGGCGCCGGCGCCGGCGCCGGCGCCGGCTGCCGCGGAAGAAGAAGAGGAAGCAGGCATCGTCATCGTCGTCGTCGTCGTGGTCGTTGTCAAAGGCATCGCCGAAAACGACGAGAGGAGCGGCTGGGAAGCCGAAAAAGTCACTCGCGGCGAGGACAGTGCCATGTCTTGTGTAGGCTGCGGGAGAGGCGTGCAGCAGGGGCAAACGGTAGGGTGCTGATCGGCATTACAAGGACGAGAAGAAGTGCTTGTCGTCGATGCAGATGCGGTAGCCAACGTCGAGTCCGAGATCAAAGTCGAGGTCGGAACACCACCAGCAGGTCCACTCGCAGCAGCAGCAGTACGTGCAGAGTTCAGAGGCGCGGGAGAGGAAGCTTCGAAGAGTCCAGAAAAAGACGCTCGGATCGGATCGAAAAGCGCGGGGAGGGCTTGGGCAGGCTCGGGATGGGACGAGAGCGAGAGCGAAGGAGAAAGAGGACCAAGGTCGTCAGAGACCACAGGTAGTTCCTGCGGTGACAAAGAAGTGTGTGTACTAGGTGTAATACGTGACGGGGAAGGCGGCGCAGGTGGAGGCACCGGTGTGGAAGTTGGCAAAGGGCGCAAAAGAGTGGCTTTTGGAAGGATGGGAAGTGGTTGAGTGTGGCTCTCTTTCGTCCAGTTCATGCATTGCTGGCTCTTCTGTCGTTCGGGTTTGCCAACCTTCCATTCTCCTCCCATTTGTTCGATCCTCCGCCGTACACCCATCACCAGTCGATCAGAGCCAACCAACGGATCGACTTGATTCATCGACTCACTTTCCTGCCATGAAGGCTTTGCTCATCCCATCGATGCCTTCCTTTCACTAGCCATGGCGATGGAGGCATGCGCTTGTTCATTGCCGACAACCCTGACTGCTCCGCCTCGCCGTCTCTATCCAAAGTTACGCATCACCGTCCGGATGCGGGTATACTCCTCCTCGGAGAGCAAGAGCTTGACTTGATCACCGGTGAGTGCCCGCTCCTCAGGCGAAAGAACCAGCGGGGTGATCGAGGCCGATCCCGGGCGTGTGCGTGTGCGTGTGCGCGGACGTGAGGCGCGGCCGCGCGATGCGGCCGACGCTGAGTCGCGCGGCGCTGACGGCGGACGCGGTGCGTGGCTCTGGCTATGACTATGGCTCTCGCTCTCGCGAGCGGTCTGGTGCAACCGCGTAGTGCCGGCTGTCGCCGTCGCGGTGGCCGACGCCGAGCTCAGCGCCTTGCGGTAGACGCCGCCGAGCTCGGCAAAGGTCTCATCAACGAGGGCGTTGCGAACAAAAAAGTCGCGAACGCGCGGCTTGTGGTAGTGCGAGACCATGTGTTCGTCAAAGACCGAAACGTAGCGGTTGTCCTCCAGCCGCGAGCCGGTGTAGTTGACGGTGAACGGCCGCCGCTCGCGGTAGACTGTCCGCCACACCCAGCGACCGCCCCGACGGCGGCCCCGACCGCGACCACGGCCACGGCCACTCTCGTGGGAAGTACGGACCCAGCGGCCACCACGCCCGCGCCCACGTCCACGTCCGCGACCACTTCGAGCCCCGGCCCCGCTTGCCGATGCCACCCACCCAAGCCCCACGCAGTGGTTGCACGTAGCGCCTCGCGGAGGCGTCGACGTCTGCCGTCCGAGCCGCCGCGGTGTCGGCGCAAGCAATGACGGCAGCAGCGGACTTCCTATGCCTGCTGTCTTGCGCATGACTCCTGCTCTGCTTGCGTCAAGTGCTGTGGCTGGAGGTGCGGTGTGAAGAGAAGCGGGCCCATTGGCCATTCATTGCCTGGCAACGAACAATCGTTTGGGTTCCTCGTCCGCTCGCTCGCGCCGTAGTGCTCTCTATCCTCTTCAATGCGCCACGATGCCTTGGCATCATGGTTGGATCAGGCGAGCATCGTGTCTGGAGAGACCTCCGCAAGAGTGCTGGCCATAGATGGCGAGACTGAGATCCGACCGTCGGCGAGGAGCGCGGCGACAACAGCCGTCCGTCGGGAGGCGACGGCCTCGCCGAGGGCTAGGTCGGAGATGTGCGCGCCGTGGGCGTGGGCGAGGAGCATTTGCACAGCTGCAAGCATGCCATTACGGGCTGCGCGTGCCAGCGCACTTCCACCATCATCCGAGATGGCCACATCGTCGCGGTCGAGCAACAGCGCCAGCACCGCGACATTCCCCCCACTCGCCGCCATCTCCACCGCGGTCGCAAGATCAGAAGCACTCGCTGTACCAGCGCGTAGAAGTGCGGCGGCAAGCTCGCAGCTCGCCTGCGTCGCCACTGTGGCGAGCACCCGTCCGCCGTCAAAACACGGCCCAGTCGGCACCGCCTCCAGGAGACGGTGAGCCACGTCAACGTGGCCATACAAGCACGCAATCCGGACTGCGGAATGGTCGTGTGCATGCACATCAGTCTCGGAATGCGCAAGAGCTAGCTCGACGGCGTCGACATCTCCTAGCGCCGCCAGGTAATCGAGCGGATGCCGCCAGAACATCATCGAGCAGTCCTCGTCAAAGTGCGAGCTCTCCGCCCGCACAAAGCCCGGCACTTTGACCAGCTCCCGCATCAGCGCTAGCCATTCGTTCCGGTCATCGCCAGCCGATCCTGGGCCAGGCATCGAGAACATCTCTCCGAGCACGTGCCATATCAGGTTCGAGCACGGATCAATCTCCTCAAACTCATACTCGGCCGCGCACTCGCCAGCTTCCCAGCCCGCATACAGCGGAATTGCATCGCCGCAAGCCGCCACTGCATGCCGCGCCGCTCGCCACATCTGCCGCTCGGTGCACCACGCACCGCCCATCAGCGCCCGGGTCCGCATCTTGCCGCCGTCGTCGCCCAACAGCCGCGCCCACATCCGCCTCGAGCTCAACGAGAGCGCCAGCACCTCGCACGGCGCCAGGACTCGAGCATCAAACGCAATGCTCCATAGGAGTTCAGTTGGAAGCGCCTCTATCGGCGACACAATTGCCATGACCTCCTCGAGCGCAAGCGCGAGAGAGGTTAGCTCCGAGCTCAACCACACATCGGTCGGGATGTAGATGGGCAAAAGGAAGATCCTCACCAGATCGGCATGCACTACCAACAACGCATATCACTGTAGGCGAGCCAACGCACATCATGCCTACTTTCGCGCCATCAACCCCATCTCCCATCTCATCTCATCGTCGCTCCGCGCCTTGCCGAATCGCCTAGATATCCGTGCCCT